CCATCCCCCAGGGAGGAGGTTATATGTAGATCCTTGTAATCTGTTCCCCCTTTCTCCCTCACCTTCCCTCCACCCTCCCGGTATCACCACTCTCACCATTGGTCCTGAGGGGTTCATGTGTCCTGGATTCAAGCCCTCTATTTCATTCTCCCTGATAATCATTTCTATCTATCATATAATAACAATAGAAGAAAACAGTATAAACCTAGTACAGTTAGGTCCTAACTCAATTCTTAAAGCAGTCAAGTTCAATCCTTATCTATTTTAATCCTTGTCTAAACTATTCCAATACAAAATATGGTCTCGGGCCTTTGCATCACACCAGGGCCTTCTGTCAGCTATTTTGACCTTCTGTCAGCCATTTTCACTAAGCAGCATGGTCTCTGAGAAATTCAAGGGGTGATTTTGCCCCTTGAGCTCAAAACATTAATTTTCACCATTTCAAATAGGAATAACCAAAGACAACAACCAGACAAAATAATCAAAGCTTTAACTTCCTAAATTCTGTCCTTAAAACAACTCAGTAAACTGCATGGCCACATCTGACCTTTGACTAGCCAAAGAAGAACTACCATGAGTCAGAGGTCAAACAAGCATCCCCTCTCCGTCTTTATGATTTGTTTCTCTAGTACTCCACTCCCAAGGTACCATAATGTGTTAGTCCAGGTAGGCTGGAGAAGCAAAATTCATAAACACTCATGTATATAAGAAGGAGCATTATATAAAGAGTAATTGTATATTAAGAAAACATCCCAGCCTAGTCCACATCAAGTCCATAAGTCTGATATTAGCCCATGTGCCTGATACTAGTTGAGATAGTTAAGGAAGGTTTATTGTGTCAATAAATGTGGGATTCATTGAAGGGCAGAGAGAGAAATGGCTTGGTCAGCCTCGCCTGACTAGTTCTCAGATCTCTTGCTCTCTGATGGTCAGACCAGGGTGCAGTTGCTTTAGCCAGTTCCCTGCTTCAGCTGGCAAGGCTTGCTTCCTGGGAGACAGGCCACATGGACTTACCCTGATGCAGCCTTGGGTGCTGGAGAAGCCGCATGGAGACCCCTGCCAGCGCCGAGGCACTTAGACCGCCACTGGATTCACAGACTTTCCACCCACTGGCTTGTGATCCTCCTGCATTCAGCATCATTGTGTGTGTTTTGTGAGTTTGAGGAGGACTTTGTAGATTGGTGTCGGACATGTGGGTGAATTCGGACTTATAGGCTTGGACTGGACTGGGTTGAGATACTTTCTGAATGTGTACTTACCCTATATATAAAACTCTCCCTTATACATATATGAGTTCCTGTGGATTTGTTTTTCTAGTTGACCTAGACGAACACACCAATCTATTAATTCCTCTTCAGACTCACACAACACATGCAATGACACTGAATGGAGGAAGATCACAGACCAGTGCGTGGAAAGTCGTGTAGATCCAGTGGTGGTACTCAGTGCTAGTGTGGGTGTCTATGTGACCCCTCCAGCTCCAGAGCTCTGGCTCTATCAGTGTAGCTCCATGTGGCTTGTCAACAGGAATGTCTCCAGGGAGGGTGTGTCCCACCCTTCAGGAGGAAGACAAGAGTTCCCAGAATCCTCAGGAGAAAGCCATACTCATACAGAGGCATAATTGGGTATGACCAGATTGACAGGTTAGACTCCACCCCTTCACTCAAGTTGACAGATTATGTAATTGCCACAATTATGATGTTACCTATTGGTCCAGTTGTGACGGTTTTTACATTGAATTGTAATCCGTATTGAAGGCTGCAATCCCTTATCATTCTTCATCAACAAGTGCTTCAAGTTCTCTTTCAGCAAGCAAAGTTTTGAAGCCACATAAAGTCTTAGGAAATAAACATTTCTAAGAGGGGACAACAGAGAACAAAGATTCTATTTACCCTGTTTCCCCAAAAGTAAGACATCCCCTGAAAATAAGACCTACTTACAGTTTTGCCTCTCGCTGAAATATAAGGCATCCCCCCAAAATAAGACCTCCCTGAAAATAAGGCCCCCCAAAGCTGCCATAACTCTGGACTCTGGACTGCAGTGGCAGCGCCGCTGCACAGCTCACTTGGCCACAGCGCAGCAGTGCAGACAGGAAGTGCGAGGTCTCTTTTAATAAAACAATAAACAATAAATATGTACCGTATTCTTCTTCATGGAAAAATAAGACATCACCTAAAAATAAGACCTGGTGCATCATTGGGAGCAAAAATTAATATAGACACTGTCTTATTTTCCGGGAAACAGGATAAGGTAAAAACCAGGCTTGACCTATTCACTGACTAGCAGAAGGCCAGAATGCCTGGAGTTCTAGGGATGAACTCGAGTATTATAAGAGGAAACCAGAGGGGAAGCAGGGAACAGATCACATAATATTTGAAAAGCTTAGGTTTATTTTTTTCCCCCTAGTAGCAGTTAGAAATGAGTTGAAGTTCTTATGCAGAGGAATGGTATTTCAGGAGGGACGACATAACAGCAATTAAGTATTATGAATGCATAAATGAAGGATGAGTTCAGCATTAAGGAAACAGCACTTAAGCTGAGACTTGAGGAATAAGTATAACTTGAGTTCTGTTCTATTTATTTTCCTTATTCTGTCCAGGACTTTTCATGTGATCTTTTCTAGGACAGTTGGTAGTGGGATATGGGCACCAGCTGGCTCTTCTGGTCTCAGGCCCGTGGAGAAGGATGCTGTGTGCCTATTAGTCTGTTGGACTAATGATCATTTGTTGTTCTTAGGTGCTATTGAGTCAGTTCCAACCCATAGAGACCTTATGCACCACAGAACTGAACACTGGCCGCTTCCGTGCCATCCTCACAGTAGTTCACTGTTGGAGTCATTGTGGAAGCCGAAGTGTCAGTCCATCTCCTTGAGGGCCGTCCTCGTTTTCACTGCCCCTCCACTTTACCAAACGGGTCATTAGCACATTTAAAATAACTATTGTTGATTTTGTTATATACAGGTAAAGGCACCTTGTGGTACAGAAGTAAAGGTTCTAATACTCTTCACGTGTTAAAATAAGGCAGCTGTTTATCTTTGAAGAGATTAAAAAGTTCATTAGTGCAGTGTTAATCACCTTTGTGAATAGTGGTAATGTGCATAACATTTGTTGCATTGTTATTTAACAGCCTCTCACCTGGCAGAGGAGGGGCAGTCACTGCATTAAACACAATAGACATGGAAGGTCCCCATGACTGGGAACTGGCACTGAGCAGTCAAGTTCAAGGACGGTCTCTTAAGCAGACTTTTATGTGGAGAGAATGAGGTTCATTTGAGTAACCTGTTGCTGCCAGGGAACAAGCTTTGGGAGGCGAGGAAGCCAGACCAAATACGTGTCTTCTGAAGCTAGCTATTAAAATGTGTTCTCAAAAGGACTCCCTCATTATCTTTCAGTGGACCTCACTGTTCCTAGTGACTCTGGAGAATTACTCCATAGGGTTTCTGAGTCTCTAAATCAGCGATTCTCGACCTGTGAGTCATGACCCCTTTGGGGGTCGAACGACCCTTTCACAGGGGTTGTCCGATTTACAGCAGTAGCAACATTACAGTGATGAAGTAGCAAGGAAGATCATTGTATGGTCGGGCGTCCCCACGACAGGAGGACCTGTATGAAAGGGTTGCGGCACTGGGAAGGTTGACAACCACTGCTCCAGAGCAGACAGCTTCATCTTGCTCCCTCAGAGCAGCTGGGAGGTGTTTGACCCCCTGCAGCACCAGGACCCATTTTAAAAAGGACAAATCTTAAATGTTGGCCGTTTGTTTTTTTCTAAACATGGGACAATGCCACTTTTTCTATAAATGTAATTCCATAAATGTTATTTGATAAATTTATCTCTGCAAAGGTTACCTTATCTTACTTTATTTGGTGGTGAACAAAGGAAGGACATGCATGGTTGTTCCTGGGAACTATATAATCTTGAGGGTGGTAGCTCTGGTTTTTGGTGAGAAAGAGCTGCAGGGGAAGATCAAAGGGAGTATAGTAACTCTCACAGTCTTGTGTTCTCTGCTTTACTTTAATGGAAACAAAACCATGAAAAACCCAAACCCACTGCCTGCGGTGAGTTGATTGTCATTCATGGTGACCCTTTATGGAGTTTCAAGACTGTAAGACCTGCACCTTAGCGACAATCTCCCCCTCACCCCACAGAGCTGCTAGTGCAGTTAGCAGCTTTATTGAAATGAGAACTACTAGGCGAGCTTGATCTTATGCTCCGCCCATCCCCCCGTCGTGTGCACACCAGCAAACTTGGCTTAAAGCAGTGCTCAAGAATCAGGTACTGGTCATATTTGGTTATTTAGACTTAATTGAAATAAAGGCAATATTTGATATTGCTGTTTATCTGTGTACCTAGTGGGAAATCTTACCAGCATTCTTGGTGTTTAGCTAGAGAGGGCCTGAAAACTCTAGTGCGTACGAGAACATCCCTTTTTGAAGCTCTTCTTAAATGATTGCTAATAGGGGTGAAAATGCTTTAGTTGTCGTCCAGGAAAAGTCTGTAAGACAAGAATTAAGCTAACCTGTTTCTCTTTTTTATTCTAGGTGAGAATTATGAAGATGATGACCTAGTAAATTCTGATAAGGTTATGAAGAAACCATGTCCAGTGCAGATTGTACTTGCTCGTGAAGATGACCATAAATTTGAACTTGATGAAAAAGCCTTGGAGAACCTATTGCTGCAGGAGCACATACGAGAGCTTAACATAGTAGTTGTTACCGTGGCAGGAGCCTTTCGTAAAGGGAAATCATTTCTACTGGACTTCATGCTTAGATATATGTATAACAAGGTGAATAGTGTCTTTTATAAGTCGAACTCAGTTTAAAACCGAAAACTACCCACCCTATTTAAAACAAATCCTTAATTTTGTAGAACTATAGTTCTCTCTATAAGACTTTCCAGTTAAGACAGATATATATAAATTTGAGCCTTTGATTCTTCATTTTCATATTGCCTTTGTATACATAGTTCATATTAATGAATATGATTGAACTGTCTGTGTTGCAGGTAGTATAGCTCTAACCCAAGGTATCTGAGTGCCCCCTGTAGGTCTCTGAAGTACTGTTCATCTTCTCTCACTCTGTTATTGCCTCCCATCGGTTTCCCTTCCAATTCAGCTGTACAATGAGTGAGAATAGACTGGTAGAGTCCGTTGTAAAAGTCACTTTCCATGATTTAGCATTGTTCAAATAAGTCAAAAAAGTCAAATACGTCACTTTCCATGATTTACCGTTATTCTCTGAGGAAACACCCACGTCCTTAGAGTGGTCTTCCATGATTGCTGAGTGTCATCTCGTCCCGCTGTACCTCACAGGTGTGCTATAACCCGCATGAGTAGACTGCACTGTTTCTTCAGTGTATCAGTAAGGTTTTATGGTACTCTTTCCTGGCTGATCTTTTCATAGGAGGCCTTTCCTGATTTACAACGTTATGTTATATCCTATAAATTCTCAGGCACAGGCTGTGTTAATTTAGTTGGTGAAGGAGCCTTGGTGGTGCTGTGGGATTAGAACATCAGGCTAAGCACAGGTTTGTGGTTCAAATCCAACCGCTACTCTGGGAGAAAGATGAGGCTGTCAACTTTCTATAAAGATTGACCCCATACAGAATCACTACCTGGTGAGCGAGTGGGTTTGAATTTTAGTTGCTTATTTTTCCTATCTAGGCTGATCTATCAGGGTTTGGTGTTACGTTTAATTAAAAAATGTGACAGTTTACACAGCAAAATTACATTCCTGTTAACAAATTTTCTACAAATTGTACCATGATATTTGTTACCACTTTCACAATGTTTCAGCGTTCTCATTCTTTCAATTTTTGTTGGTTCTGTTTGCATTGGTCTAGCTTCTTTTGTCTTCCTTGCTTTCGTTATTTTTGCGTTTGGGAGAATAAATGGTGAGAGCATTTCTTTCCATAGAGTTGGTTGTTAAAGGCAGCACATTACCACTGGTGATTTTGTTCATTTTACAAGCCAGTCTGTTATTTGACTAAGGCGACTTCTAGGAATCGCTTGAGTTCAGCTTTGAAAGGATACTTAAGGGGGATAGTCTCAGGGGATCTTCTAGTCTCTGCTGGTCCAGTAAGTTTAGCCTCTGTTAGGAATTTGAATTTTGTTCACTACGTTTTTCTCCTGTTTCATTCAGGACCTTCTATTATGCCTCTGGCCAAAGCAATTAGTAGTGGTAGCCACGCACCATCTAGATCTTCTCCTCTGGCAAGCAGAGGCCGTGGTTTTATGGGCTACTAGTCCTGTGGACTCGTTTCTTCTTTCAGTCTTTGCTTCAGATGCGTACAGACCTATAGGTGTGTTTGAGATGGCTACTTGCAAGCTGTTAAGACCCCAATCTCTTAAGACCAAACTAGACTTAGAACACTAATGTTATGAACTATGCTATACCAATTAGAGGAGTCATAAAGTCCCATGAGACTTTAACCCTAGTCCTAAGCCCTTTAACCAACTAAACCAATCCTACAAGGTGTTGGGATATTTCTAGAAAGTCTCTGCTACTATGCCCCCTGTGTGCTGTTACATATATGCGCGCACACGCGCACACACACACACACACACACACACACACACGCGAGCGCCTTATCTTAATTATCACACCTCCATCACATATAACAATAATTGGCACTTGGTTGCACAGTGGGTTATGCATTAGGCTGCAAACTTGCCAGCCCAGTGTTTTAAAACCTCCATTGTGCTCCACGGGAGAAAGATGTGGTTTTCTCCGCCAGTAAACATCTTGGAAAACCCATGACAGTTCTTCTCTTTTCTACAGGTTTGCTGCGAGTTGGAATCGACTTGAAGGATAGGCATTTACGATCTATTTTGGTCAATTTATTTACACTTTTCTATATACATTTTCACGTTTTGATGATACCAGCCAATTAATGGTTATTTCCTTCCTCCTTATTGACCTTTGTCGTCCTCCCAGGAAAAAACAAGCACTTTTATCACTTGAATCAGAATGTTTTTCTATCAGCTGAAAGCTGGGTTGAGGGAGTGCGGGTTTTGATAGGGACATGAAGAAGCTGTTGGACATTTTGGAGTGGAGCATGTAGGGGAAGGTCTTTGGAAATGAAGACATTATAAATAGCACTTTGGCAGAAGTATGTAATTGTTTAAACATCTGCCATGGTGCTCACTTTTAAAATTTTTGTATAAATCTGGAGCTGACGGTGCTGTCTTGAGATAAGTACTAATGTAAACATTTCCAACAATTTCAGGGAATTTTTTATTTCGGGGTCTCTTCAGGCATGCTCAAGTGAGCCTAAGGATCAAGAACATAGATTGTATAAAATAAGTTGTTTTACATGTTTTGGCTGTTGTAAAAGATAGAGTACTTTAAGATTTTCAATTTAAACTTTATTATTTCCCTGAGTTTTACAACCTAAATCTAGAAATGTAAGAATAGCATTAGAGTCTTTTGAAAAACCCTCCATCTTTAAAGATGATAAAGAATCTCCTAATTTGAATTCCTGTGACTCCTCAGGTTGGCTTGTGTGCATTGTGTAGCTCTGTTTTAGTTGTTCACTGCAAGTGCATCAGATTCTAAGTAGGTCACCGACAGAAGAATGTTAAAAGAGGAAACATAGATCTCTTGTTTAGGAAACGTGTAAGTTTCACCTCAGGTGCCATTTCTTTTTCCATCTCAGATCAATTAGTGGTATCCGCTTATTGTAATCTCTGATTTAGTAGAACTCCCCCTGTCTTGGGAGGGATACTTAAACCATGGAAAGGTGATGATGGCTGATGGTCTGAGTTTATGGTTCTAGTCAGTGGCTTCTGAACTGGGGAAATAATATCTATCCTTATTAATTTTAATCCCTAAAATGACCATGTAGAGGGCTTATAAAAATCACCATATTTGCCTGAGTTTGTGGATAATATGTGTCTATACTCTGGCTCTAGTGGTGCTTTTTGCTTTTCCTAGGAGATGAGAATAAGTAAGGAGAATGCTTTTATTAACCTCTGTGTCTGCAAGGAACCCCTGGTGGTATTAAGGGCTCAACTGAGCACTGTGGTTTGGACTCACCCAGAAGATTTCTGAAAACTCACAGCCTTGAAAACGCTATGGAGCCTAGCCCTGGTCTGCACTCCTGGGTCCCCTGCCATAAGCCAGACTCACCTCACTGGTCACCAACAACAGGAGAGGCTTATAAGGGGATGCTAGCTGAAAGAAGTAGAAAGAAGCAAGCAGTGGATTATATTGACTTTGGATTGTCCTGAGACAATCTTTGTAAATATGAAGTAAGCATCTGTAAACATTTTAATTAGTCATGTAGAAACAGATGAATGTTTTCATTAGTAAACGAATTATACCATTGGGTAGAATGTGAACTCTTTTCTGTTAGATAAAGACAGAACATCAGTAGCTTCATTCTTAAAACTTAGAATATCCTGTTATGTTAGCCAATCACCCCAATTATAGGACATACTTTGACATATAGCTCTCACTTTCTTGTAAATAAAGAGCTTTTTCTATAGTTTTTAAAACATTTTATTAAGAAAATTGTTAGGTTTTTTTTAAACTTAATATATGGCAGGTGTGTTGAGCTGGGCTATCTAGAGAAACAAAACCAGTGACGCGCATATATGTATAAGAAACACAAAAATACCGGTATGTATAAGAAAGGACTTTATATCAGGAAATAATTTCATATCAAGGAGGTAGCTCAGCTCAGTCCAACCCCAGTCCACGAGCCTTCTAAAGATCTCAGAGGTGAAGACTGAGGAGATAGCAAAGGGAAGTGAGCAGCGGGGCGATGCAAGATCCAGGGGACTTGCTGCCCCCGGGGACCCCGAAAAGAGAGAAGGGCCAAAGGAGAGGAATTCTTCCTGTCTCTCTTCTAAAAAGGCCATACCTCCAAGGAGGTGTCACTAGGCTCCTACCTGTTTGACAGGTTGGTTCGACCCCTATCTCCACAGTGGTACCAAGTTTTCAAAAATCCAAACACCACAGCAGGATAGAAAGTAGTCTTCTGTTGTAAATGAGAGATGAACTAAAGTTTTTTCTAGGGTAAAATTTTTTTGTGCCATTAACAGATTTTAGCAGTGAGTAAGATTTATAATATGAAATATAGGAAATGGGATTTTCATTAGAATTGCTAATATTTTTAATCCATAAGAAGCATTTTGAGTTTATAAGGATATCAGGACATTCATCATGACTGCCAGTTATGTATGAAGTATTCAACAGATGTGTGAGGAAGAATGCGGCATCCAGATTAAAGGAAAATCTGCGGAATGCAAATGACACGACCTTGCTTCCTGAAAGCAAAGCAGACTCGAAGCTCTCAGCGATGACGATCAAAGACTAGCTTCAGTATAGACCACCCCTGAGTGTAAAGAAGGCAAGAGTCCTCATGACTGCATCAGCAGAAAGCATGAGTGGGGAAAAGGCCGAGGTTGTCCACGATTTCATTTTACTCGATCCACTATCAGTGCTCATGAAAGCAGCAGTCAGGAAGTCAATTGACACATTGCATTGGGCAAATCTGCGCCAGACCTCTTGAAAGTAAACTAGAGAACTAAGTTGGGCTGACCCAAACCATGGTATTTTAACAAACTTCAAATGCACGTGAAAGCTGGACAGTGAATATGGGAGACTGAAGGGTTGATGTCTTTGAATTGTGCGTGGATGAAGGATATTGAATATATCTTGGACTGCCAAAGAACAAACAAATGTGTCTTGGGAAAAGTAAAACCTGAATAGTCCTTCATAGAGGTGAGGATGGCGAGACTTTGTCTCACATACTTTGGGCACGTTACCAGGAAGGACTAGT